TATCCAATGGGTCAGAATATAATAATACATCCAGCCTTCCAAAGAGGTGCAATGGGCTAGGGATTTTCTACAGGTTTCTTAACACTGCTTGGATAGTAAAGAAGCATACAAACTGTCCACTGGTTAACTGACCTGCCTCCCTTCCTTTTAGTCATAAACCTCCTAGATCAATACTAAAGGTGAATTAATTAACCAAGTAATGTTTGCACATCACCTTAAAGTCATATCAATGAATGAACACGTCATGTTGACACTTCAGACACTACTCAGAGCTAGAACACAATTTTAAAAATTAGCAGTTTTATTTGCTGTCAATTAATGTCCTATTTCTATGTCCCTCTCTGGCATGTAAGTGCCCTCTGGATTCTCAAAGGCTATGTTAGTGCAATGAAATATGTGGTAGGTAAGTGTTGGTAGAGCTTCACATATGAATGGCACCATTTTTTGGTCACAGCATTTCATGGAAAAGGCATGAAAGGATTGTAATCTGTATTGCTGGAGGGAGTACCAAGTACTAAAGAAATTTCATTAAGTATATGTTTTCTTATTTAGCATCAGAATATGAATCTAGAGTGAGGACGGATTTCAGAGGCCATCTATCTTCTCTCTTATATTATTTCAAAATGAGAAATGAGAAACCAAAATGGGTGGAAATGGTCTGTAATAAACAGGAAGAGGAAGATAAAGATTCTGAGCTTAATGTTTTATGTTCTCACAATCAACTAGTTAAAACAAATTTGTGTAAACGTGATTGTATGACAAGGTTAAAATGTTCAGACATCATCCTGGCTTTTTGGTTTTTTTTGTTTTTTTTGTTTTTCGGAAAATTCATAAAACGAATAATGTTTAAAAGAAAATGTACAGAAAGCAGGAGCTGTTACACTTTGAACGTTTAAAAATCTCCCAAATAAGTTTTTAAAAAATATAAGTTATTTACTGTTGTTCACAGTATGTCTACTCACATCTAAACTAAGCTTACTTGAAATAATGATACTGGCACTACTGCTCTAGAACACTCAAAATTTCCAAAAAGCAAACAAATGGTAAATACAAACTTCAAGGTTGGAAAAAAAAACTAGGTTGTTTTAATTGTATGCTCTTTTTTTAAACTCGGAAGCACTACTCTGGATGGTACCTTCTCCAACATTTTTCGCTCTCTCTCCAGACCGACTGCTTCGAGTTGCTTTTCCTCTTCCAGCATGGCTGGGGTGATCACCGGGGTGTCGTCTGGTGGCTGATCCATCTCTGCCGCCACAAGCCCTGCGTTCAATGGCGGGAGAAATGGTTCTTGAGCACCAGGAGCGGATGCTGCGCAGCCAAGCCGGCTGCCAGCCCGGACGAGCGGCCCCAGCCCGCTCCCCGCCGCTCTCGGCGTCCGTACAAAGCTAAGAAACACTTAGCGGGGGGGGGGGCAGCGGGGGCGAGCCCAGCCAGGGCAGGGAGGCGGCCCCGGCCCCTAGCCTCCGGCCTCCGGCCCCCGCCCCGAGCAGGACCGCAAGCCCATCAATCACCGGCAGGAAAGCTTCGTTTTCGCGGGAAACAGCGCGGGGGCGAGGCACTTCCCAGGGTGGCTCCGGGGCCGGCCCTCCCCCCACCGGTCCGCCGCCGCTTCCCTTCCCCCTCAGCCGCCTCTCCCCAGGCCCCCGGCTCCCCCGCCCTGGGGCCGAGGGCGCACTCACCGCCGTTCTGCTGCAGGCGCTCGGCAGGCATAGCCGGAGACACAGACGAACAAGGGCACAGGCGACGCCGCACTCCCCTGACGGAACTCCGGGGCAGCCCACAAACCCGCGCGCCAATTTTCGCCCAACCCCCTGCCAAGCCTCGCGAGCCTCGCTCCTCTCACGAGACTCTCTCGGGGAAAACCGCGCGCTTCTCCTTCCCAAGTCCCCGCCCCCTCCTCCTTACCCCTCCCCGTCCCCGCCCCCAGTCTCGCGGGGTTTCCTGTTCTCTCCCTCCCCGCCCACCTTCCTGCGGGGTCAGGTCGCTACTGTCGGTTTCCAGGTTTAGTTCCGGGTCTCGTTGAAGTTTTGGGCTTTCGTGCACTGTGCTGATGGTCCCGGCGGCCGGAATTCAGTCAGAATAGAGAGAGAGAGAGAGAGAGAGAGAGAGAAAGAGAGAAAGAGAGAGAGAAAACAGGGGAAGGCATTTTTATCTATTCTCCATGAAGCACCTGATGCCTCGAGAGGCCGCTGGCCCTGCAGGCAGGGAGTCCTGAGTTCAAGTCGTCCCTCAAACCCATAGTCCGACCTCCCAGTGTCCTCATCTAGCAAATGAAGGGGTTGGGCTCTGCGTTCTCGCCCAGCTCTGCTCTGGAGAGGGGGATCGGCTCCCACCCAACCTGTCTAGACTCGCAGGAGGAGCGGGCGGGTGTAGGTGAGCGCTGGACCAAACCTGAAGCTCAGCGGATGTGGGCTCCAACACCCTGCTTTTACACGTGAAGTCGTGAACCCAAAATGTCCTCGGAGACGCAGGTAGAGCCAGGATTAGCAAGCAGTGCTTTTTTTTTTTTCCCTTAATTTTAATATTTTGATTTTTCCCCTTTTTTATCACTTCCCACTGAGTACACCCCCCCACCATCCAAGCAAAACAAAACACATTGGCTGTGTCTGAAGATCCAGGTGGCCCATTTGGCTCGCGGGGTCCACCACCTCCGCTGAGACGTGAGAGGTGGGCTTCATTTCTCCATCACTCTTCTTAAGGCGTGATTGAGCTCTGCCTCAGAGTCTTGAATTCTTTTACGTACAAAGTGCTTTTTCCAAGGCATGAGATCCTGGTGCCAACTCCCCATCTCTACCCCCAATGACTAGCTTCCTTCTTAGATTTTTTTTTTCGTAGCACTGTGCCTGGCTCTCTCTTGCCCTCATTACTTTGTTCTGTATCAATTACTTATGTAGACCCTCTTCTCTACTAGTAAGCAGTCGAAAACGTGTATGAAGCACCTGTTTATGCCAGGCACTGTGCTAAGAAGTGGAATCCACAGAAGAAGAAGAAAAAGAAAAAGCAAAACAATCCTCGTTCTCTAGTCTACATTCTAAGGGGGAGGTTGTATGCGCACGTATCAGTCTATACAGAATATGTACAACTTGAATCTAAGGTATCTTTGGGAGTGCACTAGCCTTTAGGGGGATCATGAAAGGATTTGGGTAGGAGTTGGAACTTGTGCTGAGTCTCGAAAGAAACTAAGAATCCCAAAAAGCATTCCAGGCTTGGGGACCAGACAAGGTAAAAGCACAGAGACACAGGTTGGAGCATCATGTGTTCAGAACTGCAAGGACAGTATGACTGGATTAGGGAGTAAAGTATAATTGGGCTAGAAAGTTAGTTTATGGGGCCAGGTTGTAAGAGCTCGAAATATCAAAAACAGAGTTTATGTTTGATTCTAGAGGGCGAGAGCCACTTAAGTTTTTGGAGCAGAAACACTTTTGAGCAGAGACATGGTCAGATCTGTGCTTCAGGAAAATCATTACTGCAACTGTATAGATGATAAAATGAAGGGTGAGAGACAAAGCAGTGAATCCAGTTATAACAATTTTGTAATAGGTTAAGAGTTAATGAGAGCCTGAAATTGGGAGCTGGCCTGGGAGGAGATGGGTGTAACAAATGTGGAAACAGAATGGACAAGATTTATCAAATGATCAGTGATGTGGGGTGAGAATGAAGAATTGAGAAAAATATGGAGGTTGAGAACCTTCATGACTAAAAAAATGGTGTCCTCAACAGTAATAGGGAAGTTTAGAAGAATTGGGGGGAAAGATGAGTTCTGTTTTGTACAAGAGTTTGATATAACTATAATTAAATGTTCATATTCTTTATGAAGTTTGTTGATCCTCAGGAGAGATATTTCCTCCTGCTCCACCCATTCAACAGCATGAGGGGAATAGAGGAGGCAGACAGAAGAATTCAGGGCTGGGGTTCAACAAGCAATGAGGTGAGATAGGACTATAGAGCAAAAGATTCAAAAATAGAGGAGAGTGGAGAGTTGAACTGGTCAGTAGGAGTTTGAGATGAGGAATGCTTGAGGGAGACCAAAAAGGAAGTTATTGCAGTAGTCCAGGAAAGAGGTGATGAAGGTCTTAAGGAGAAAGGTAGTTATGGGAGTGATGAGGAAGGGGATGTAGGAGATAGAAGGAAATGTAGGACGTAGAAATAGAAAAGACAAGAACTGGCAACTGAATGAATATGTAGTATGTGAGAAAAAAAGATCCTAAAGACAAAGTAAGCACTTCATGGATAACAAATGAGCTGAGACTAAGATCAGATAGGTAAGGGAATCCAGGAGACAGCGGTGTGGAGGAGTGGGTGGTAAACTGAGTCAAAAGCTGAGAAGAGGTCAACAAGAGGATCGAGGAAAAGCCATTAGACTTGGCATTTAAGAAATCATCAGTAACTTTGGGGAAGGTGGTTTCAGTTGAGGTCTGCAGCCAGAGTGCTGAGGATATAGGGAAGAGTGAGAGGAGACAAAGTACTACAGAATGCTCCTCCAATAATTTGTATTGTAGACCACTTATGTGTACCCACTCTTCGGCCTTAATAAATAAAATTCAAGTTTTCCTAATTGTTATTGGCCTTCTACTATTTAAAGGTTTACTGATGAATGTGCTGTATGTAAACAAGAAAAATCTTCATCTCTAACCACCTTTTTGAAGCAAATTTTTCCTGATCCCCAAATTTCCCACCTACTTGTGCACTTCCTCCCCAAAACTCCCTTAACCTCATATTTAAAGGGAAAAGAGCAGCTGAGTAGAGCATTAAATGAATGCTGAGTCAGGAGAACTGGATCACAGTCCAGGATCTGTGGTCATTTACTACCTTTCTGAACCTGACTTTATTTTTTAAAATACGGGTGATAATCCTTGTCTACTTAACAGGATGATCCCAATAATCAAATTTAAAAGCCATGGAAAATTTCTGAAAACTATATAGAGGGTTATATAAATATGATCATTATTATATGATATGATTTAAATATAAATTGTAAAATGAGAACACAGACAAAGGTATGTAATCAGTTCTTGTCTCTATTTTTACATTACTATCAAGGCTGTTATCAATTTTATCATAGCATGTTTATTACAAAATTGACTTCCAAATACATTGTAATTGTACAAAAGTCACTTAAATAAAACCATGAAAGTTTCCATTTTTCTTAATGTCAACAAATGAAAAGGTTTTGCAATGCAGCAGAAAGATAACTTCCTTAAGAATGGTCACAATAAGGTAAATTCAGCCTGCAGCATATGGAAAAACCTCACCAAGTGAGATTAATTACGGGAAGACTAGTTTGAATAAAATAAAGAAATGTTATATTTAAAGAAATGAAATTTTACTTATTTCTAGGACATGCAGGAAACCTAAAAAATTGTGGTATGAAAGAAGCATTGTTTTTTAACAAATAAACAAAGATTTATAATTAGCATATTAAAGCATTAGTAAGGACCTGTGGGCCCTGCCACTTTGCAATTAAATTACATGTTAAAAATGCTTCTAAAAGCATTCTAAAAATCCATTTCTGCCAATTAGCTGAACTATTTCTTTAAAGTTTTGTTTAAATTCTCTCTTTCCTAGAAATTTTCACAAATGCTAATCCAGTGAAGTCCAATTTATTAAGGTTTTACTACATTTGGGAATCTATGACAGCTTTTTATTAAACCCTGGGTAATGGCTTCATATTAAATTAAAATATGTCACTTATGCCACACAGATACAGCTCTTTATTATCAAGATGGCAGATTATCCACCCCCAAATTTAAAATTCCAGACTGACTTCCCTGTACCACAGACTTTAGGGCTGCTTTACTCCCGATCTGTTCCTATCAGTTGATGTGTTCTCTTATGGAATGCAAATTAATTTTAATAGCAAGCTTAGCAAGACAAGAAATAGACATATTGTTGCTACCCAAAAAAATTACAATGTAATGTAATGTCAATTAAAAATGATTTGGGATCACAGTTTTGAAATACACATATTAGTGCAGCTATATTGAAAGTGAACTGAACTAGAGAAAAGTAACCTCAATTCAAAGCTACAGGAAAAGTTGTTAAATTAATCACAGAGACTTTAGAAATTTCAGTGCCTTCTTGCTAATGCTGGATTATCTCTTCAGAGTTCAGTACCAGACTAATCATTTAAAGGCATTTGACCATGGGTGTATACACCGGAGTGATCTGAGAGATTTGCAACTTGCTCTCAGTGGAAACTGCCATGAATACAAGAGTTCGGTGCCTTCTAGCAGCATTTGGAGTAAGAATACCTCACTGTAAACTTAAGGGATATTGCCCAGTCACAAAAGGAAATGGGAGTAAGAAAATATGCTGCCAACTTTTTAAAAAGTTACTTTGCATAAGTATACAAGGGAAATGTGTAACACTAAACTTCACATTATTATGATGACATAGTAAAACGTTTTCCATTTCAAAGAAAATTTTAATAAAGTAGCTATCTTACACATTGACATATGAACTGTGTACAAATGGCTCATGGGCAAATGCAGTATGCTACTGCAGCTGCCAATACTGCCAGTCCTTTAGGACCAGGCCTGGGGCAATGCTAAGCAAGAAAAATTTGGCAAAAAAAAATTTAGTTATCATTTTCCAGCTTCAGTTAATTAATGCAGATAACCCAAAAGTAATGAAGACTCAAGTAATTACTCTGCTTACAATTTTATTTACATAGGAATTTTATTAGTGGTCTTTAATGTGTCCCTTTTATTTACATTTTTATATACAAGCTTATACTTGAAAGGTAAAGAAACTGTACAATAATAAAACAAAACTCAAAGAAATAACTTGGTTCCAACTAAAGAAATGAATACATAAAAATATAATTTAACTTAAACATGTGGTATGATGTCAATATGGTGACTGCCAGGGTTCAATGCTCAATACTTTCCAGGGCCATTGAAAACAACAAAGTCGGTGACTGGGCATGAGGCAATGACTATAGTCATTCATTTCAGACACTGGAGTGGCTTCTTATTATGATGCAGTCCCCCCCACCCCAAACATTATTTCACAGAAAGTTTCCTCCCCCTAGCAAGCTTCACTGCTGCTCTGTTACTAGGAGTAACTATTGAGAGGCCCTCCCAAGTCACAGTGCTGGAATAAACAGGGATGGAAGTAAGTGGGCACTCTCAGGTTCTATGTTCCTAAAGAGGCAGTCACCACATTAATAAGGATACCAGACCTGTTACCTTGAAGACTACATATTAACAATATAAATAATGTGCTTAAAGGTAGTTATAAACCAAACTGCAACATAAAAGCATTCTTTAAATAAGTAGCATGTTATGCAGATACTGCTCTTAACATTCAAATGATTCATTTTAGTTCCAAAATTAAAATGTTGTAGTGATAAATTTGATCTCAAGTCTACCAGTGATTAACATAATCAATACACAATAAATATCAAAGTTTGCCTTATTAGAAAAAGTTAATGTTCAATTGTATTACTGCTATCATTCATTTCCATTGATTAAAAAATTAGGTTTTTTTCATCATCTAGAGCACATTTTGCAAGTCACTGACTTGGCTTATAAATTAAGGTTTCAAATGTCAAATCTATATTTACAAAATTTTGTTGTTCAACAGTGGAAGGATTTTAAGTACAAAGAATGTCAAGTCTTTGCCAAGCACCATGCTACTTAAAACTGTCAGCATTACATACTAGGGTAGTTTCTTTACTGTGATTAAACAATCACCGTAAAACCTCACTTTAACATTTATGGATTGACTACCAAAGCCAAAATTTCTGCCCACTAAAGTGCAAAGAAAAACTTTTCCTTCCACCATTTTTTCCCCATTTTCATAGTGTTTTATGACTTCATGAATAAAATCATTTCTTAGACCAGAAATGGAAAGGCTAACATTCCTCTGTTGCTAAGAATCTCTTAAGGAATGTCCACATAATTTTTCTTCAATAACAAACATAAAATATTACCAGAAAAGAAATACCTGAAACCAGTGAAGTACAATCTACCACCAATATTTCCAGTTCCTGAGTTACACATATTTGCCCCAACTGATGGATGAAACTGAATGACATCAGTGACCCAAATAAGTTTAACCCAATGTTTCATAGTCTTAGGCACATAGACAACAAAGAAATTTATTTGGTCCATAATATTTTCAACTGGTTAAATCTGGAGGTAATATCTGTACTGAGGGGTTTGGTTCAGAAAGCAGTTTGGGGTTCAGACTATTTAACATGCCCCCTTTTGACCTCCAAAAGTGCCTTTCTGGTAACTGTTTATTAAAAAGAAAAAAGCATGCCTCAAAAACTTCCAACCAAGTTCCAACCAAGATTATTTAAAAATTTTATTGCATTAAATTCTTTACCTCAAATTATGGAATATGAACTAGCAACTTTCAAAATTTTTCTTTGTGAAAACTGTTTTCCCCACACAATACTTTTTAAAAATAATACTGGCAACAGGATATCCATTTATCTACTTTTGCCACTGAGTGAAAATTCAACATCTGTCCATCTCTCTTGATTCTTCTGGATTTCTCCAATTTTTTCCTCTGTTTTCCACATAGAAAAAAGTATTTTATTAAATTGTTTTCCACATTTCAATTAGGCTTTTAATTGTGAAGATTAGCTTTTCAGTGCTGGACTATGGTTCTTGTCCCCTTCTTTAATATCCTTCATTACAGATGCAAACACCTGAAAATGATTTGAAATAAAGATTAGCTCTTGAACATTCTCTCTGGGAATTCCTCTCTGGAAATGCGTATTAAATTAATTGATTTTCAACAGTAACAGACTACTAGCTATTAACTTAAAAACAGAAAGAAGTTGGGGTTGTTTTTTTTTTTAGAACCATCAACACTGTTTCTCCAACCCACCCCAAACCCCCCCCAAAAAAAATTTGCATCATTACATTCTGCTTTGTTAGGTCAAATTTTAGATTCTAATGTTATGGTCATCACCTGGCAGAATGCCATTACATTATCATTTGGAGAAGTAGTGTGGAAAAGAAAAAAAAGCACTAGGCTTGGAGACATGGGTTCAAATTTGGTTCAAATCACTTAACTTGTTTTAATCTCAGTTTCCGCATGTGTAAAATGGAGATAATACTAGAGACTAGTCTACCTCAGAGAGTAATTTGAGGAAAGCATTTGGTAAACCTTAGTTTACCAAACAAACATGAATTATTCCTCCTCTGAAGCTCCTAGATTCCATTTCTACAGATTGCTGATGAAACTGTAACACATATGAATTCATAGCAATGTCTACAAAGTCTATATTTACTGTCTACACTACACATTTCCTCTGCTAAAGTGCTACATGATGGTAAAAAAGTTAAGTCAATAATCTTGCATTTGACATTAACCATGCCAAGTCTCATTTTCTTCATCATTAAAATGGGAAAAATAATAACTCATAACAGGCTTGTATGAGAATAGGTCTACATAAAAGGTCTACATCAGATAAATATCAGTCATTTTGAAAGAGAAATGTATAGTAGACCCTGAGTATTTGGTTAAAGATAATAAAGGTAGAAACAGAATAACACTGTCATCAGAGCCTAATCCAGAAGGGCTATGATATAGTTGTGATAGGGGACAGACATCTGCTGAAGCTCTGTGACAGAAGCAGCGTCCCTAATTTCTCAACCTACCTTAATAATAATTTCTTCCTTTGAAGTATAGAGGAACCAAGGAGAAGTTCTAAATTTGGATCTGATTGTCACAAACAGTTCATGGAGTGGAAATGAAGGAAATCTTGTAGGGAGAGGAAGGAACTAACTACTACATCTTAGTGTTTACAACAGAGGTGGCAGAAGTATGGCTTAATATAACATATAAGTCAACACAGGACAGAGAGAAATCTGTCAAAAATGAAATTATGAAGACACAAACAGAAATAATTATAATGCAGAGGAAATATGGAAGTTTTCCACAGAGAATAGTATTGATAAAAAGGAAACTCATCAACCAATGTAGATTTTTGAAAGAAACATGCAAAGGTAGAAGCAAGGACAGGTAACAGAAAATAAATCCCACAAAGTTCCCTTCATTTCTACCCCATGAACTGTTTATGACAATCAGATCTAGAACAGAAATTTTCCTTGGTTCCTTTACCTTTTAAAGGGAGAAATTATGAGTTTATACTCATGAGATGTTCCTCTAAGAATAGTATCAAGATTGTTAGAGCTCAGTATGCAACATGGCTGTCAGGAAAGCTAAGGACAGCCAAAAAATGCTTTGTTTTCAGTCATACCAGACAAACAAGTTTGAAAGAAGGGATAGGACTGCTATTCGGGGTGAACAAGACAATGACAACTGTTGCTGCTTTTTTTCCTCTTTTTTTATTCAGTCGTTTCAGTTGTGTCTGACTCTTTGAGTCTCCATTTGGGATTTTCTTGGCAAAGATACCAGAGTGGGTTGTCATTTCCTTCTCCAACTCATTTGACAAATACAGAAACTGAGGCAAACAGCGTTAAGTAACTTGCCCAGGGTCACACAGCTAGTAAGTATCTGAGGCTGGATTTGAATTCAGGTCTTCCTGATTCCAAAACCGGTGCTCTATCCACTGCTCTACCTAGTTACCTCGATTTTTTTTTCTCTACCAAGAAGGTTTTTCAGACTGGAAAAGGAAAAACAAATATGGCAAAAAGGAATCTAATACCCAAAATAAATAAAGCGAAGAGGCACTTAGCCTCTGTTGAGGAAGTTAATTCATCCAGTCCAAATGAACTATATCTACAAGCAAATTTAAAAAAGGGTAAATACAATTGTTGAGCCACTATCAATAATCTCTGGGAGATCAAAGAATATATAAGATCTATTACAGAACTGGAGAAGATCATGTGTCTTCTGATTTTCAAAAAAAATGAAAAGGATGCAGTCTGCAAATTAAACCAGATTTCAATTCCAAGAAAAATTCTATAATATATGAAAAGAACCACTTAATAAAGGAAGCAGTAAGCACAAAAAGATAGCATTTATTAAGCACCTATTACATGCTAGAAATTGACTAAATGCATGACCAGATGATGATAGATCAAAGTCATTTCTTCCTGAGAATCCCTTCTGTTTGGTCCCTGGACCACATCTCCTCCTCCCTCAGTAATTCATTACATCTTAATGATACTGCCCTCTCCATAATTTTCAATCTATCCCTATATGTTGGTTTCTTCTCTGTTATCTAAAAACATGCCAGGGTCTCCCCATCCTTTAATGGAAAACAACAACATTTTTACTCGACCCTGTCATTCCTTCAAGCTACTGTCCTGAATTCCTCTTCCTTTCACACCTATACCTGTCGCCTCCATTTCCTCTCTGCTCACTTTTCAATCCCTCAAAATCTATATTTCAACCTTAACACTCAATTGTGAGGCTACAATACTCTCTCAACTGCAAAACTCAATGGCTTCTCTTGTATCCTCATCTCTCCAACATTTGATACAGTTGAGCATTCACTCCTCCTACCTATTTTTCTTCCCCCAGGGTCTTTGTTAACATTGTTCTCTCCTGATTTTTCTCCTACTTCTCAGACTGTTCCTCAGTTTTCTTTGCTGGATAATCATCCACATCTTATCCCTTAATCTCCCAAAAGCTGTGTTCTGAGCCTTCTTCTCTTCACTTTCTGTAGTCAGTCAACTAGCATTTATTAACCACCCAATTACTGCCAGGCACTGTGTTAACTAAGTACAAAGAAAGGCAAAAGACAGTATCTGCTCTCAAGGAGCTCACAATCTGATAGGGGAGAAACATTCAAACAATTACATACAAACAAGATAAACTGCAGACACTCAACAGAGGAAAGGCACTAGCAATAAAGGGGATCAGGAGACCCTTTTTGCAGAAAGTGAGACTTTAGCTGAAACTTGACAGAAGCCAGGGAAGCCAGGAGTTGGAGATGAGGAGTTAAAGTTTGAGGCTTGGGGAATAGCCAGTGAAAACAGTGAAAGTTTTGGGGCAGCTAAGCGCACAGTGGATAGAGCACGGGCCCTGAAGTCAGGAGGACTGGAGTTCAAATCCGGCCTCAGACCAAACACCTGACACTTACTAGCTGTGTGACCCTCATCAAGTCACTTAACTCCAATTGCCTAAAAAAAAGAAAAGGAAAAAAAAAAGGTGAAAGTTTGGAGCTGGAGTATCATGTTCAATAAACAATGAAGAGACCTGTGTCACTGGATTACAGAGCATAAAAGTAGAGCGGAGGGGAATATACAGTGTAAGAAGACTGGTGGGGTGACAGCTAGGAGATTAAGGAGGGCTCTGAATGCCAAAGAAAGGATTTTATATTTGAACTTGAAAGTAACAACCACTGGAGTAGAATGAATGGGGAAGTAACACAGTCAAACCTGTACTTTAAGAAAACCAATTTGACAGCTGAGTGGAGGATGTACTAGAGCAGGAAGAGATTTGAAGCACGGGGACCAACAAGCAGGGTATTGTAATAGTCCAGGCATGTATCGATGACAATCTATAACATTGTAGGAGAAGTGTCAAAGGAGCCCAGGGGGTATATGTGAGAGATGTTACGGTGGTAGAAATGACATGACTTGGCAAATGACTGAATATGGGGGTAGTGAGAAGCAGGAGTTAAGCACTCTGTGCCCTCTCAAGGAATCTCATCAGCTCCCAGTTCAACTGAACTCTTGGTTTCACAACCTCAGTCTTGTTGACCTCCTCTCAGTTGCCAAGTCTCATCAATCCAACCTCCACGACACTTTTCCCATCCATGCTCTTTCACATCCAGCCACCACACTCACCACACCTCTTCACCTCTCCTTATCAATCACTACTTTGGTACTTCTATCTGCATTATTAAAAAGCCACAGAAGGCATACTTATCAAATTGCAAGTGACATAAAAAATGGGGAAGATAGCTAACAAGGTGTCAGCATAAGGGTTCAGAAAGATTTTGACAGGTTAAAATAGTGGGCCAAACATAATAACATAAAATTTAGGAGGGATAAATGCAGTATTCCACTTGGGCTCAAAAAATTAACTTCAAAACTACAAGATGAGGAGGGTATGGGTACAGAACAGTTTGTCTGAAAACCAGCGTGGCAATTCTAGTGAACTGCAAGCTTAATATGAGTCAGCAATGTGATGGCAGTCAAAAAAAAATGCAATTTTTTTGATACATGAAGAGCAGCATAACATAAAGAAAAAGGAAGTGATAGTCCTACCATAGTCTTTTCTGTTCGGAATATATCTGGAGTATTATTTTCAGTTCCAGACAACACAACTTAGGAAAGATATTAAGCTAGAGATGGTTCAGGGAAGGGTCTCAATTTTATGTCATATGAATATTAGTCAACAGAACTGCGGACATTTAGCTGAGAAAAGATTAGGAGGAGGGACAGTTGTCTAAGTATTTAAAGAGCAGTCATATGGAAAAGGTAGTATGTTTATTCTGTTTATCCCTTAAGAAGTAGAAATAACAGACAGAAATTTTAAAGAGGCAAATTTAGACTTGATGCAAGGAAAAACTTCCTAACAATCAAAGTGATCTAAAAATGGAATAGGCTGTCTTGAGAGGTAGTTGAGGTGTACAAGCAAAAACTGAATGATCAGTTGTTGAGAATATGGTATAGAGGGGATTTCTGTTTAGATACTGGTTGGATTAGAGGCAGGGGTAACGAACCTGCAGCCTCGAGGCCACACGTGACCCTCTAGGTCCTAAAGTGCAGCTCTTTGACTGAATCCAAACTTCACAGAACAAACTCCCTTAATATAAAGATTTGTTTTGTAAAACTTGGATTCAGTCAATAGGCCACACCCAATCATCAGACATTAGACATCTAATGATTAGACATCCAATGAGTCAGTCAGTCAAAAAGCATTTACTTGGTGCCTACTATGTTCCAGGCACTGTGCTAAGCACTGGGGCCAAAAAAAAAGGACAAAGACAGTTCCTATTTTTGAGAGGCAACTGACCTAATGAGAGATACAACAAGCAAACAAATAGATACAAACAAGTCATATACAGGATAAATAAGAAATAATCAACAGAGGGAAAGCACTGGAATTAAGAGCGATTGGGAAAGGCTCCCAAGAGAAGGTGGAATTTTAGTTGGGACTTGAAAGAAGCCAAGGAGGCCAAGAGGCAGTGATGAAAAAGGAAAGCTTTCTCAGTATAAGGGAGAGCCAGAGAAAATGCCTACAGACACGAGATAGAGTGTTCAAGGCCACTTCTGATTGAAATTCTGTGATATTCTTATGACTCAGATCAACATGGAGGTAATTCTGGCTTCTCAAAGGTTGTATAATTAGCAGAACACAACCTCTATTAAGTCTTATCAAACCAGAAAGGTCTCAAGCATGAAGCCTAACCAACTACCTTTGTAATACAAGGACTATGAAGTAAGTTTGAAGAACCTCATCACCAGAAGATTGGTCTCCAGGAGATGAAAGGAATGGAAACTCATGAAAGTGTCCTGATATGCACTGGAGGGAATAGACACACAAATGAAATCAGAAATCTTTCAAGGTCCTACATTTGGCAATTAATACTACAGTATATTTTTATTGTTGCATTCTTTCCACTGTTATCTTTTACTATTTAATGTTCCATGTATATATTCCCTCCCTAAATTATATGCTCTTAAATTGTTTTAAGAGATTGTTTATCTTTTTATAGCCCCTGTGGTATATAGCATACACAAAGTATTCTTTAAAAATACAATATGGATGTGTATTTTTATGTTTTCTATGAAATGTCATAGAAATAACAAGAGTTAGTCCCCTCATAACTACAGAAATGTTGTGAGTTACAATTCGTTTATATTCATAAAATGTTGTAGAAAAAAAGTTTTAGGATTGCAAGGGTAAAAGAATGCTTATTTCATTCCACTTCATTTACAGAAGACCATAAACTAAGCTATTCTCAAATACATAAAAATGACCGCAAACTTTTTCAGCACCGACATCTGGAAAATTTTTAACTCTCATTGGTCTGACATCAAAGGACTGATTTAATATATCTTTATTAGAGTTAGGAAAGAAAGAATTTACCTGTGTCCATTTTTTGGTGCTATTCTGCATCTGAATAGCTGCTATACAGCTGAAAAGCTTTTCTGATGTGATGTCGTCTGGCAGTTTGGTTAAAAACTGTGCTATATGAATAAAGTCCATTTGCAGAAGTATATCTTCATATAATCGAAGGATTCCTAATCCTGTTCTAAATAAAAATTCTTCTCCATCTCTACAAAAGACATCCCAAACTCGACAGGCCAGATCAAGTGGAAGTGACTTGCTATACAGCGTGAAGATCCTAGATTGTCAGAAAAAAATTAACTTGCTATTAGATTACAATTTATAAAACCTCTTCAGAGACTTCTAGTTCTTTGGCAGTCTCCAGCACAACCACGTGGAGACACAATAAATACAAACTTCTGAGACGTCCCCTTGGTATAGCAATCCAGCCCACAAACATACATCTCATGAACCAAAGACAAATCTTATCTTAATTCTAAAACCATATGCCACGTTGCTTACTACTTTCTTAAATATAGTGAAATTAAGACAAAGTTCTTTAATTTATGAATTTTATAGATTTAATAATCTACTACCAAAGGAAAAAACCTCAACGGTATCAATCTAAGAATACGCATATATTTAGTAAAAGCTTGTACATGATATTTCTCAATAAATTATACATGTGATACTTACAACCAACAAATAAATGCCTTGATATTTCAGGGTATTAATTATTATATTTGAAGACAATTCTATGTACACACATATACATACCAAAAACAAGAAAACCACACACACACATACACAGATAGTATATTATAGGTAGTAGTAAAAAAAAACCTTTAAATGGTAAGCATATTTAATTTTTTAATTAAATTTTATTTTCAGAAAAAGATCAGCCTTATCTTCCTCCCATTTCCTTCCCACCCCCACCCCAACAAAATCTATTAAAAGCATGTATAGTCAAAGAGAACAAAATTTCTCATTGGCCATGTCCAAAAAAAACCCAACTATGTATCAATCTGTCCTCTGAGTCCATCACTTCTCTGTCAGGAGGTAGGCAATATGTTTTAATATGAGTCCTCAGGAATGGTGATTGGTCAATACACAGATAAGAGTTCCCAAATTTTTTTTTAATATATATTTTGTTTTTATCAGTCAAGATGCCTTCTATCTCTCCCTCCTACCTCAACATCCCCCGGACCTCATCCCCAATGAGAATATAAGAAAAACCCATTACACACATGTATAAGAAAACAAGACAAATTTCCATATTGGCTATGTTCTAAAAAAGGTGATCTAATAGAAGGGATGAAGCTTTAGGACAATTGTACACAATTAAGAATAAACAGGGGCAGCTAGGTGGTGCAGTGGATAGAGCTCTGGCCCTGGAGTCAGGAGGACCTGAGTTTAAAGCTGACCTCAGACACTTGACACTTACTAGCTGTGTGACCCTGGGCAAGTCACTTAACCCCTACTGCCTCACCAAAAAAGAAAAAAATGTGTCTCATTCTGCATTCTTGGACCTTGAGCTTTCTGTTATAAGGTGGATGGCATGCTTCCTCATTAGTCTTCTGGAATCCTGGTTGGTTATTACACTGAAGAGTTCAGCAAAATAGTATTCTATCACAATCATAGTGTAATTTGTTCATCCATTCCCCAATCTATGGGTACTTCCTCAGATTCCCTTTCTTTGTCACCCCAAAAAATACTGTAAATATTTTTGTACATCCTTAGAATTTGTTTTGCTTAGAACTAATCCCTTCCTTAACCTACCCTCCTCCTTTTCTTTTTCCCTCCTTTATCCATGTGGAGTGAAATGTATTTCTGCACCCAACTGTGTGTCTGTATTCCTCCCTCTTTTGACCACTTCAGATGAGAGTGAAGTTCAAGTGTCAGCCACTGCACCTACCTCTGATTCACTTGTACTAATGTCTACTTGTATACTCATGTGAGATTTTTCCTAACTTTCCTTTGCCTTCCCCCACAGTGTATTCCTCTTTCCTTCATTCTTTTCTTAAAATTATCAAGACATAATAGAACCACTCCCAGGTCTTATCTAATTGAACTCCCTCTACGAACTGTGATGATGATGGGGTTCAGAGGCGACAGTATCATCTCCCCATATATGAATGTAAACAGTTTATCCTTGTTCAGTTCTTTATAATTATACTTTCATGTTTTATCTTTTTATGCTGCTCATCATTCCTGTGTTTGTACTTCAAAGTTTTTCCACAGCTCTAATCTTTTCATTAGGAATGCTTGAAAGTCCTCTATTTCATTACAAATCCATTATTCCCCCTGCAGCATTATACTCAGTTTTGCTGGTTAAATTATTCCTGGCTCTAAGTCCATATCTTTTGCCTTCTGGAGTATCATATCCCAAGCTCTCTGCTACTTTATAGTGGTGGCTGCTAAATAAATTGTGTGTGATCCTTGGTATGTGAATTCTTGCTTTCTGGCTGACTGCAGTATTTTTTGTTTGACCTGGAAGATCTGGATTTTGGCTATGATCCTCCAAGGAGTTTTCACCATGGGATTTGTTTAAGGATTTGACTGATGGATTCTTTCTACTTTTATTTTGACATCTGGTTCTAGGAGATCCAACAGTTTCTTTTAAGATTCCTTGAACTAAGGTACCTAGGCCTTTTTTTGAGCATGGTAAATTCAGATAATCTCTTGATTCCTAAATGTTTTCTCTTTGATCTCTTTTGAGGTCAACTGTTACTATAAGATACTTCACATTTTCTTCTTTTTTCAATCGTTTGATTTTGTTTTAATATTTCTTGTGGCCTCATGGAGTCATTCCCATCTGTTTAGTCCCTTCAAATTTTTGGTCAGTTTGTTGCTTGGACAAGCTTTTCCTCTTGTGTCAAGCTGTTAATTCCCTTTCTAATTCTTTCTTCCACAGCTCTCATTTCTTTTCAAAATTTTTCCTCAAGCAATCTCATTCCATTTATAAAAACATTTTTAAAATATTTTTTAAAAATTCTTGTCTCTTCTCTTCCAAGAATTCTAGTTGAATTTCTGTCCAAGCTGTATTTTTCTCCAAGGCAATACTTGTGATGTTTTGGAGTCATTCTCTCCTGTATTTATATTCTGAGTGTCCCTGCCAACATAAAAGCTCATCATGGTGGGGTTCTGTTCATGTTTGCCCATTCTTCCTGAGATGTGACCTTAGGGCTGGGCTCTGCCACACTTCTAGGAACAGTCTTGTTGCTGCTCTCTTGGAGTATTGAGTGTTGTGCTATTCCAGGATCTTAGGAACAGGCTGGGGACCTACAAGCTTTCAGTTCTCCCAAAATGGTCTCATCTACGGCAAAATCTAATTGCTGCCACCCTGGTCTGATCTTTGCGATTTCCTGACCAGTGTCTGGGCCTGTGAAAGAGTAGACTGCTGCTGGATTCTCTGTCTGCCAGCTGGAAAGCTCTGTTAGCTCGGAGCAGCAGAACTGTAGACTCTCCTTTGGCCTGGGATTCTCTCCTGATTATTCCTCTGCAGGTTGGGCTAGACCTTGGAACTGAAACCCAGACTGGCTTCTGAGGTCTGAACTACACCCACTGCTGCTGTGGTATTCTGAACATCCTCTTTTCTCCATACACAGACCAGGGCTTCCCTAAGTAGAATGCAGGCACATATCCTCTTTTCACTCCACCCTGGATCTTCCATATGCATATGCCACATGCATATACATATATATGTGAGTATAAACATTCATACACACAGATTTCTGGAGTTGGAATCATCAGTACAAATGGATGTATGTGCAGCACTTATTTTTTCCATAGTCATATATACTTATGCACTCTTCTTCCTCAAGTGATCAAATGAAAAGCTGTCACAAGTATGTAAATACTAGATATGTTATCTTTACAGATTTCATAGTGCTAGTCTTTAATTTTAATTATAAAATGCTTAACATCAGAATTTTTATTTTCTTAGGTTTACCAATAGCTTCAATTGAAAAAAATTATAGATGGAGACTCTTTAGCAACTACACTTCACCACAAGAATTTGAAATTTTAGAAGGAACTATAGTAGAAAAAGAAAATACTTAATTTTTCTTCATTTAGGCTGAGAAAACCAAAAGGCATCAATACCCAGGGCTGAATCATGAACACTAAAACTCCCAAGTAGTCCTAAATGACCCTACAAAGGATTTGGAGTCCCAAAGGATCACACATTCTACAGAATGTATATCACAGACAAAAGATGATGTCAGGACGCAATGGCTACCAGAGGGCCATAAACAATTCTTAAGCTCTGGTAATTCTTGCTTTAGGTGCTCCAGTTTCTCCTCCAGGAACATATCTGTCTGCTCAGGCATCTAGTTATTTATCCTGTCACGGGTTAGACTACAAAGATCAAATTCCTTCAACTTCTGCCTATTTTCAGGATTACTGCAATCATCATCCCAAAAAAAATTACTAAACTCTTAAATTTTGCCTCCTGGATATGTAATGGATTCTAAAGTCTCCAGTATGTGCAAACTTTAAACTGTGCTGAACTCACTGCAAGGGGAGTTGTCCAAGATCTAAGATCCCTGAGTTTGGGATGAGTGTCAGATTTTTCCTTGAGTCTGTCAGTCACTAAACATTTATTAAGCACCTACTTACTTACTAAGTATCAGGTACTTTGCTGAGTGCTAGAGATACAAAGGCAAAAGACAGTCCCTACCTTCAAGGAAGCTAGGTGGCACAGCAGATAGAGTCAGGAGGATCTGAGTTCAAAACCAGCCCCAGACACTTAGCTGTGTGATTCTGGACAAGTCATTTAACCCTGTTTCCCTCATTTTCCATATCTGTAAAACGAGCTGGAAAAGGAAATGGCAAATCACACCAATATTTTTGCCAAGTCATGAAGAGTTGGACACAACTAATCAACTAAACAGTAACAAAAACAACTGTCCTCAAGGAGGGAACAAACTTAAGGGAGTGGGGAAGGATTATTACCCAGAGAGAGGCTATGATGGGAGAAGTCCAAAAGATTGAGACATCTGACGGATATGTGAGATTTTTTGATATGCATGCTAGAAAACTAGAGGAAAGCCCTTAGAATTGGGTGGACCCTTTCTGAAAATTTATAAGACATAGACAAGAGTCATTTAATGTACAAGAGTATGAGAAATTAATGAGATCACAGTTCTTGTGCCAAGTATAAATTTCCTTAGTAAAGAGTGAATCTATTCTTATTCATTTCCTATTTTAGGTTACCTCAATTGTAGACTATATATTTTCATTTTAATTCTTTCATCTAATTTGACAAAGATTTTGACCTTTCCTCTGAAAAATTGA